CCCAAAACCCCAAAACCCCTTCTTGATTTGTATTTGATACTTACAAAGTTTTTGAAAATAACTAATCAACAGATATATAAAATTGCTAATTTAAATTAATAAATTATAAATCCAATTAAGATGAAACGAGTGATCAAACTAAATGAGTTCTTTTCAGTAATAACATATCCATATCTTTCATATTTATCAATTCAATTAGGCATGCATTCAACTTTTAGAAGGTGCAGATGATATTATACGCGGACTGAGGAAAAGTTCAGGCATGACAGCAATCTAAAAAAGTATTTACAAATTGCGTCAGCTAATTTCAATTAGGCTAAGCTTCGTCAGATGTATTTACAGAAGCGGATATCACCATTCAGAGAACTGTAATGTACAATCTAAAGCAATTATACCCAAAAGCAACAATCATAGGTACTGTCAGTGCTGTTTTTGATTATTTTAGGTGAGGAGGATATAAATGATTCGAACTATGCATCTTCAAGACCTTACATATATCCAGATTAAATTGACAAATAGCATATCTCATAAAAGATGCTTCTCGAGAACTACAAAATACACAGTACAGCCTATAGAGACTATATTAGAGAGCAGGAAAACTTGTTTGGACAAGAAGCAACTGATGCTGATTGGAATTTTTACGAATTTCCAGATGAATTTTTCGAGGATGAGATGGTAATTTGGATAGATCCTTTAGATGGAACTAAGGGCTTTACTGAGGGACATTTTCATCATATCACAAGTATGATAGGAGTTACAGTAAAAAACAGACCTAGGATCGGAATAATACATAAGCCTTTTTATAATGAGTAGTATGATTAGGGTAGGACATACTTTGGGACACCTGAATGTGGACTTTTTATTAAGGAAAAATTCTCCAAATAGGTTAGACGTATTCAGAGAGTGACTCCTTTAATACCTTTTCCTACTGATGACGCAGTCGACGATAATGATTACAAAATGTGGGTATGTGGATCATTTAATGAGAACTAATCAGTGATGAATGATATTATATCTGCTTTAAAACCAATTAATGTTGCAAAAGTGGCTGGTTCAGGGAACAAGATCATCTATATCTTAGATTAAAAAGCAGACTGCTATTTAAATCTAGTACCTGGCTTTAAGTATTGGGATATGTGTGCATCAGAAGCACTAATTTAGGCAAAAATGGGCATAGTTACAGATGCATATAAGCGTCCACTAAAATATGACCACACAACAAATAATTACACCATTAAAAATGGCATTATTGTCGCCAAAAATAAGAAGGTATATGATGTATGTATGCAAAGAGTATAAGATGCTCTAGGTACTGATATCTCTGCTCTTCATCAGTAAATTTCAAGAGAAATTCAAGAGAAAAAATTGTAATAATAGATGTAATAAAGCAATGATCACTTTCAAAAAGTTATAAAGATTGAGAAAGCAAAAGACAGACTAAATGAATTCACATGAAAAATAGTCGTTAATTCTATTACTCAAGGATTATAAATATCTTGTTAACTTTACGGGGAATTATAAGTAAATTTAGTCTAATTATTATACAGCAACAGCAAATAGTAGCATACGATATAAATCTTATATTCCTTTACTTTATTTATCATCATAAATAGTTATTAATTTATGGCTACAATATTCATACCATGGGGTTTTGGGGTTTTGGGGTTTTGGGG